ACTGATGAAAGGACGTACAGTCCGGGCCCATCTCAATCTCTGACGACAATGTGAGGCTAACAATAACTGCCCTCTGTAAGTTCTGTAAGACTTAATTATTGCGCCCTGGGTCGCCTGGCCACGGTCTGTCGGCTAACCATATGCCTTAATGCATTCGTCGCTGATGACGTCACTGTCAGGAATCGTTTCCGGAGATGCAAAGCACGCAAGTACCGGTCTTCATTGGGCGTAGTTAGCCTGGGCCTGCCTGTTCTTGGCCTGTTTGATGCTTGCCCGGTCTGTCTATAACGTTGCATCAGGTTAGTTACAACAACACGGGAGCAACTAAAAGTTCTCGCCATGTGGGCATGGGTGGCTCGCCCGCTAGGTTGTTCAGGTGTCAGTCGTGGCGTTTCTGTGATGTTTTGTGGGACGGGTGGCCCAGTCGTCTAAGGCGCAGCGATTCGCTGTGCAGAGTTGCGTCCCTTGGGCACGCCAGAAACCTATGATTGTGGGTTCGAATCCCGGTTCGCCCCAATAATGTTTCTAGGTTTGTCAGCACCATACCCGTGCTCGTGGGTTTCACCGAAGTGGTAAACGTCTGAGACCTGCATCACTTCGGGCTTTCACCCACATTAAGCTGACAAGCCGCGGTATAACTGGAATACTGTTAAAAGCGGCGTTAAACCCAACTCACTCACTCACTCACTCTGTGAAGTTTTTGTTATCAGTGGGAATGTTTGACATGCCGTTCAAATTATTGATTTTCCCTTAATGTACGCAGATTATGACATGAAACAAGAGACAAACAAACACTGATTGTGTGGTTTCCGGCACCACATCTCACTCCACAGAGTTGCTATTCTTAGTCGTGTCAGGATCCGCTGGTCGTTTGTTCGAATCCCAGGTTCGCCCAGATAATGGTCCTAGGTTCGTCAGCACCGCCACCCTTCTCTCAAGTGTCAACAAAGTGGTTAACGATCTGCCTGACTTTGGGTTTTAGAAATTGTTCTGAATATGACCGCACGTCAAATCCACACGGTATTATAATGCTAACGTTAGAGCTCTCATGGAGTGAGTGAGTGAGCTGGGTTTGACAGTATTCAGTATTCACGGCGTGTCGACTGCATGTGGAAGGGAAGCCCGAAGTGATGCAGGTGTAACACGATTTCCACTTTGGTGAAACACACGAACACGGGTATGGTGACCAAACTAGAAGCATAATCGATGAGAAACGTGAAGCATAATCGATGAGAAACGTGATTCGAACGTACGATCATAGGTTCCTGGTGTCCCCAAGGGACGCAACACTGCTCGGCTGGGTCACCCGTGCCACCTAGCACTCATAGATATAATACCAGGGAGTCTGTATACAGACAGCTCATCTTGACCAGAGGTCACAGAGTACCCAGTGATGGCATTCGTGACCAACTCGTCCCATTCCGGGACAACCCGAATGAAGACTGGTGCTCCTCTCGAAGGTTTCCATATTGGCGTATGAATACGAGAACTACTTCAAACAAGAACGATAACTCTTATTATCATCCAAAACTGGCTCCCACTGGAGATATCGCTTGGGTGAGATCAATATTGTACATTGTAGATATCACTGCAATGAAATTGCATCACAATGCTTTGCAGACCATTGTGTCGTCATTGTTACCATGACGTCACAATCACATGACATCACTAATGGCTCTGCTACTGAAGCTGTTCGCAGTGTTTTTACACTAAGACATTGCTTTTTACTGTTTACAAACTGAAAAAGTTGAAATAATGTTGGATGATAAATACAATCTCACCCTCGTGTGTTTTTATATCAAATAGGGGCGGTCGGGTAGCCTAGTGGTTAAAGCGTTAGCTCGTCACGCCGAAGACCCGGGTTCCATTCCCGACATGGGTACAATGTGTGAAGCCCATTTCTGGTGTCCCCCGCCGTGATATTGCTGGAATATTGCTAAAAGCGGCGTAAAACCAAACTCACTCACTCACTTTTATCAAATATAGCAACTCGGATGAAATTCTCTATTTCTACCTGCATCTTATAGTAAAATTGATGCAGACGTTACAGCAGCGCTCGCTTATTCATGATATAAAAATATTAACCCTCTTTGATATAAATACTAGTATATTCTTTTGTCCAAAATAACATTTGGCAAGCCATTCAGCTCACTTATTCTCAGCTGCACATCTTTTATTTGCAAATTATTCATTTTTTTAAAATAAGATATCAAAAATAAATGACAGAAAACTGACAAGTCGAATGTGGTTTTCGGATTTAAGTAATTTTTATAGAGAATATCTCAGACATATTCAGTTAAGCGTGGCAAATTTGACATTACTGAATCGGTCCTTTCATGGACAGTGTTAACAGTAGACACATATTATATGAATTAATTACAATAAAAGTATGAAGGAATGCCATATCCACCATGTCAAAGAGATGTATAGAAGTATTTCTAAACACATATGGAGACCATGTCAATATTCAAACCACGTGGGGATTCCTTAGTAGCGCTGTGCCTGTCGTAAGAGCAGCTTGACGGATTGGGTGGTCAGACTCGGTAACTTCGTTGACTTGCTGCTTGTTGATCGGTGCTTACAATATCAATCACTGGTTGGCCTGGTGATGTATCGATCATGTTCGAGCAGCCGTCATATTGGTTGAATATTGCTTTGTGCGACATTAAACTACAAACAAGCTTTAATATTCAAAGCTCGTTCAAATTTAAGGTGTTTAAAGAAAGGAAGAATTATAATCTTATCAACTAATGTAAAAACATTTAGTACAAACTATGTGATGGACAGAGCATAAATAGCTTTAACTGATTAAATTGTGTGGGAGTAACATTCTAGTCTCTTACAGGTCAGATAACCCAGAATATATGTACGTCAACCATTTAGGAAATTTAAAACCCATTTTATTAATAAATAAGTGAGTTGGGTGTAAAGCCTCGTTTAACAGTATTCCAGTCATATCGCTGCGTGTCAGCTTAATGTGGGAGGAAAGCCCGAAGTGATGCAGGTCTCAGACGTTTACCACTTTGGTGAAACCCACGAGCACGAGTATGGTGCTGACAAACCTAGAAACACAATTGGGACGCACCGGGATTCGAACCCACAATCACAGGTTTCTGTCGTGCCCAAGGGACGCAACTCTGCACAGCGAATCGCGGACTTAGACGACTGGGCCATCCGTGCCCCTAATAATATTAGTGATTTGTGGTATATAGACCATCATGTGGTTGTGAATATGTATTGAGGAATCCATTTTTCCAATGGATCCAACTGTATTCATTAACAATTTGTCAGAATTTAGTGCTGATCTTTTAGAATAGCTTTCTTTTCTTTCAAAACTTTCGAAATAATTCTTCCGATTTTTATATATCATTGTGTTTATGATACCCCCCGTTTAAAGCACTTGTTGTGGAAGAGGATTGCCTCTACATGTCAACGCTAGCTGTATTCATTAAATCTATACCCCAGAGCGAGGACCGACAAAGTCATATTTATAGATAGTTAATAAAAGCAATCAATTCGTACACAAACCAAACTCAGGCGAGCTGACATAGAACTTAAGTGCGTACTTTAGACATCATCTTCCCGAGGCAAGAGAGTTAACTGACTATAAAAGTCCAGTTTCCACCCTTGCCGAGGCTGGTATTATGGAGTGTACATTTTGGCTGGACTAACGAGTCTATGCATAGTCCAATCAAAATCGCGCACCAAAATCGAAATCCGGTTCGTAAACTGTCGTGCAGATTCAGGTCGATTGCAGGATTTGCAAAGCATGTGCACCGCCTATGCGATGTCAGCAGATATCTTCCAAATCTTTTCATGTTTTTGATCAAGGTACTCGCGAGATTTGATGCATTTCGCGATGTAAGACCCGTTTGTTTTTTTCATCACAATATGGATCTTGATTATCGACCAGATCGTCCTGACTCAGCGCCACCATTTTGTGTGAAGCAAACGCAGGTGATACGAGAAGTTGAATCTGATTGGTCCATAGGAGAGGCTTAGAAGGGACATAACTGGTAATAGCCACTGGTGGCGCTACGATCGAGCGCAGTAATTCCAGCCTAGTTCGGCAAGGGTGGAAACTGGACTTTAAATGTCAGTTAACACCTCTTGCCTCGGGAAGATGTTTAGACATAGACCATGCATACCATGAAACATACGAATGACCTCAGCAACTTCAGCCATTTCAATATTTATGTTCACTTTACTAATTCTAATATTTAAAAATCGAAAGTATGATTCCTCCTTATATTTTTGTTGTCTTTATTGAAGTATGAGCTATTTTGGTCCGTCACAAACAAAATTGTAAACATTGCAAATACATATGGGCTAAATTGTCCGAAGCACAATGTCACATATATTTACATATGTAACAGGTAAATAAATAATTTGTTTTGAAATAGGTGATTAGTTAATCACTTTGATACATTGTTAATCTCTTGGTGTACCATCGACATGGATATTACACTGAATGAAGTTTTGGAAAGCCATGACTAGTGATAGCTCAAATGAACGGATGTCGCAGTCAAGGGAGCCGTTTCCTGAATGTAATTAAACAAACACATGGGTACAAATCTATCAACCAACATGGCCCTACAAGTAACAACATCAATTACTATGACACAATTCTGTTTTCCGTACACACTGCGGTGTGGAACCGACAATCTACATTTTTCCACGTTTCATAAATACAAGCGTATTCCCAAAATTAATTTAAATACTCCGGATTATATTATATTATATTTACCAATATCCTTACGCGCTTTCTGATTGGCCTTCGTCGTTCGACGCATGGCGCCCTTCGTGAGGGGGACAAGCCTTGTTGTAAGTTACGGAAACATGCGAATGGTGACGAATACAGTGATCGATGTATAGAGTTGTCTCCCTTAGCTAATGAGAGGATCCACTTGTGAAACACTTTATCCTATACTTTCACGGATAGTAAGTTTACATTATCAGCATTAGCCCCCGACTCAAGAGGATGACTACAAAAACGCCGATTGTTAGACATGATATGCTTTATTGCCTTCAAATGTCCTGCTAACAAGCACCCTGGTGTGCCACCATGACCGTCGCAGTATCCCCGGACCTGTAAAACATATTTGAAAAACAGACATTATTTCAAGTCGACGAGAGTAACTCCGGTAACTTTGTTCACAGACTACCGAGAACGTACGGCAAGCATAGTCGCCTTACGGCAAGCATGGGTTGCTGAAGACCTATTCTACCCCGGATCTTCATTGGTCCTCGGCGGTAAGTGGCACAGGTGAACAATACGGCTAAGGCGCCGCAATTCGCTGTGCAGAGTTGCCTCCCTTAGACGTGCCAGAAATCTTTGATTGTACTTGTAAGCCAGGATATGTTGAGTTGTGACCTCACAATTAACCCCGTATGACTTTGTATAGGTGAGGTGAAATGGGGTTTAACGTCGCGTCCAAGATTATTGCACTTATTATCACTGCATCACTTGAGGCTTTCCTCTAACATCAAGCTGACACGCCGTGATATTATAAAAAATACAAAACAGCGTTAAAGGATCTCACTCGATTCTGTATAAACCGCCGTGATACATGGCTGGAATTGTGCTCACTGTGTGGTGAAACAATTAACATCACATTGCAAGAATGATCTGGCCGTTTTAGTGTGACGTCGAACTCCGATAACGTCAGTCTATATACTTGTATATTTTGTAGATGTGACTTACATGCACAGCCTCACGCCCATTTCACAAGAATTGGAGTATGTGATTCCGTTAGATCCACAGATCGGTGCGTAGTTCAGTGGACATGCTCTCAGACAATCGCGAATGTCATCCGCACCAACCGCTGTAAAATAATTGAATTAGTTCATGAAAGTTAATGCTTAAGTCTAATAAATAATTTGGGTACTTGAACCCTCCAGTCTTTCGTGCCCAGAAATGCGAGAGTTGCCAGATGATCCGATGATCACATGTTTGAATCCCAGAGTCGACCTGATCCCTATACTCATGACTGTGGGTCTGACCAAAGTGATAAGATGCTGAAACTGTTACAATTTAGGATTTCCTTCCACATTAAACTGACACACAGTGAAAGAACCCCTGACAATATGTTTAGTTAGATCACAGTGACGCCTCGAACTCGATTCGCAAAAACTTCCTTGTCACCACAGAAGCCACATTGGCATCTGGGGCTAATAACTTTAAATCGATATAAGTTCTACGGCCTTAACAAATTTAAGTGTCAGTGTGGTTTTAAAAGACGCACGCACGCACGCACGCACGCACGCACACGCACACGCACACGCACACGCAGGCACGCACACACACACACACACGCGCGCGCATCCATTTACGCATTCATGCAGATGGATCGTGTTATATTTGAGTCATCATTTTTGATTCAGTCAGGGAAGGTAGCAAAATGACATTTAAATGTATTTATAAATTTATTAATTATTTTTCTTCCTTATTGAGTTTCAAACACTTAAATGGACATGCCTTATTAGGTTCAAGTCTTCGCTCGCTCGCCGCTGGGGTCAGACTCGGGTTCGATTCCTCATATATTCACCAGGAATATTTACTAAAAGTGCGTAAAACCCAACTCATTAACTTATGTTTCAAGTCTTACCAGCCAAAAGCAGGACACAAACGACGAAGGCTCGAAACATCGTGTACACTTGTGTGTGTTATGAACAACTGGTGTGTTTCAGTTTAATCCGTTCTGGCCTGTTTATCTACTTTGCCACAGACCAAGTTTTTGTTGTGATCAGATTAGAAAGACACATTAAAGTAACCTGGGCTGTGAATCTGTATAATTTATAGTGTTAAAGCCGCTCGGTCGTTACAAAGTTACGCTATTGATTTGCCTTTGCGTGTGTTTGTGACAGGTGCCACTGGTGTGTAATGAACAAATGACGTGTTTCAGATTTATCTGTTCTTGCCTGTTTATCTACTGTGAGACAGACCAGTTTTTTTCTTGTTGAATTCAGTTTTCAAATAAGGAGTCTGTATAACTTACGTGGATGGGTGAAATAGTGTTTAAAGCCGCTTGGGCGTTACTAAAGTTACGCTGGTCGTTTACTGTTACAGGTGAGGTGAGGTGAAATTGGGTTTAACGTCGCGTCCAAGATTTTTGCACTGATATAGCGACGTGCATGTACGTGTGTGTGTTTGTGTGGCTGCTTGTACTAGTCTGGACTGATGCCGATTTATAGAGCTAGCTCACTGAGATACCATGCCGCAGTTTAACATGAATACCCTACTCAGACACAGTATACTGACTCCAAGCCGACCAGTCCTTGTTTAAGCCCCTTAATGCCGAGCGCCAGACAGGGTAACAGCAAGTACCATCTTTTAACGCCTTTTGATATGACGCGGCCGGGGATCGAAGCCCGGACCTTCCGCTCTCCGGGCGGACGCTCTACCACTAGACCACGGAGGCGGTCTTACTTTCATATAGTAATATGATGGCGAATAACAAATATATATTATATAGTAGTATGGCGAAAACTGATCAGTAGCGGTACATGACTATCACGTTACGCAGCATTACCTGTTGACAGTCGTGCACCTGATATAACCGTTTAAATCGTTTTCGTTGGGTCTGTCTCCATACTTAATTTCTGGAAGACAAAGAAAAACATGTAGAAAGCTGGCCGTTCTGATATTCCAGGCAGTGTATAATCTTATATGGACTCCCTGGTTATACGAACTATATGCGGAAGGAATCGGCGTTACGTGGATTCAGGTCATATTCCTACGCCATGCATTGCTGCACGAGGTATTATGGCGGTCGTGGATTCAGCCGACCATAATGGAATCGTTCGGCTAAAACACTGAACTGAAATAGTTGGGGATAATGAAAGTATTTAAAGATATTTTTAAATGAAATTGTGTGTTCGGTCTTCATTACAAAAAATATTCCCAAAAATATTCATTATCCCTAACTGTTTTTTTGTTTGGTGTTTTTACTTTGAGATCTATCTGATGTACGCCGACATTGACACATATTTCATAACGTTTCCTTCATCTCGATTGTCGCTACTGTGTGTTATCCTTGACATATCTGTTTCAGCAATACTTTTGTTTTCCAGTTTAAAAGATATTTCATTCAGTTAACGTTAGTTTCAGCTGGGATGTCGGTGTAAACTAACATGCAATCTTTTCCCAGTCGTGTTGACCGCTTCGGTAGTCTCTGGCGTCAATTTGCGTGTTAGTAAAAGAAGCATTTGTAAAATATCTGAAATCAGTCTCAAGTCGACAAGTGTCACATTGGCATTTTCGTTCTTGATTTGAAATATTTTCTTGGAGATTTGTTAAGAGGGCTCTCGTGTGGTTTATTCACTAATGATATTTTGATATCAAGTTCGCACTCCAGTAAATCTAAAATGACAACGCTGGAGAATGATCAGTGATGAGTGAGTGAGTGAGTGAGTTGGGTTTTACGCCGCTTTTAACAGTATTCCAGTTATATCGTGGTGTCAGCTTAATGTGGGAGGAAAGCCCGAAGTGATGCAGGTCTCAGACGTTGACCACTTCGGTGAAACCCATGAGCACGGGTATGGTGCTGACAAACCTAGAAACATAATCGAGGCGAACCGGGATCAGTGATGAGAATTGTACAGCTGAAAATCAGTGATTGTCCTGTCGATACACAGGCAGTATCTCAGTAATACGTGGTACATTGATAGCAAGCCAGCACCCCTGTAACTTGTGATGTATCCATACAAACGTTACAATGCTAAGGGTACTTTCTCCACCCTGGCTTGCATTATGTGTGCTTCAGAGAATCTAGCAGTTTTGAAACACGAATAAAATAATGAATTTGGTATCCTCGCAATTATTGCCATATACTTCACTAAGAACCCTGCATTAATCAATACTTCAAGAAGGGCACACTATCGAAATGAAGTGTTCGCCTTGGAAACGGTGCGTATGCTCTCACAACCTATAACCTTGATTAACAGATCCTTTTAAATAACTCTGTATCGTAACAAAACAGAGCAGTATTGCCCTGTGAGGACCCTGGTTATAGAGGAGTGAGTGAGTGTGGTTTTACGCCGCTTTTAGCAATATTCCAGCAATATCACGGCGGGGGACACCAGAAATGGGCTTCACACATTGTACCCATGTCGGGAATCGAACCCGGGTCTTCGGCGTGACGAGCTAACGCTTTAACCTCTAGGCTACCCGACCGACCCTGGTAACAGATGATGTTACAAAGACCAGTTTAGTGTGTTACCTCAATGGTCAAACATCAAATACACGATATCATTCATAATTATACGTATATAAGACAGAACGTTATATTTATCATACAATTTATACTCTTTAAAAAAGGGACCGCCTCCGTGGTCTAGTGGTAGAGCGTCAGCCCGGAGAGCGGAAGGTCCGGGGTTCGATCCCCGGCCGCGTCATACCAAAAGACGTTAAAGGATGGTACTTGTTGTTACCCTGCCCGGCGCTCGGCATTAAGGGGCTAAAACAAGGACTGGTCGGCTCGGCGTCAGTGTGACTGTGTCTGAGTGGGATATTCATGTTAAAACTGCTGCATGGTATCTCAGTGAGCTAGCACTATAAATCGGCATCAGTCCGGACTAGTACAAGCAGCCACACAAACACACACACGTACATGCACGTCGCTATATAAGTGCAATAATCTTGGACGCGACGCTGAACCCCATTTCACCTCACCTCACCTTCAAAACAAAAGAAACGCAAAGACAGGTTTGTGTGAGGAAAATACATTTATACGAGGAACCGTACAAGGTATTGAGCCAAAATGATGTGGAGAGAACATTAATTATATTTTGGTGATTGTAGTCATCTCAGTTATGGGTACATAGAAAAAGTCAAAGGTGAAGGTCAGCTACCAACGCGTATGTGCCCCGTTGGAATCGATAGCGGCCTGACACCTTCTGCCTATGGAAGAGACGACTATGCGAATCACATCCTTGGGAATGGTAGCCAACTCGGCCTGCAACGCAAAAGACAACTGCTGCAACGTCTGGGTTTGTGGTTGACGTCGGCGTAGCCGTCTATTCAATTCATCCCACGGGTGCTCTGTCGAATTCAAATCTGGATCTGGAGGGCCAGGGGAGAACATCAACGTTGTTGTTGTGTAGACAGGCTGTTGTGATTCGTGCTGTATGCGATCAAGCGTTGTCCTGCTGGAATACACCGTTGCCGTTGGTTGCATTTGGCAGGACGTGTGGTGGGAGAATTTCGTTGATGTATCGTTAAGCCGTAAGATTGCCCTTGATATCGACCAAACCTGTCCTGCCATGATGAGAGATAGCCGCCCACATCATAACGCTACCCCCACCAAATCTGTCCACTTCTTGTACGCAGTTTCCGGGGTTACGTTCTCCCCGACGTCTGTAGATCCGTGCTCCTCCTCGACGGAGGAGAAGTCTTGATTCAACGCTGAACTAGACATCCCTCCATCGCAGTTGAGGCCATACCCTACATTGAAAACCCTGGCTACAGCTGATCGGGATTCCCCTGCCTGCAAGCGGCCTATGTCGTTGTTTCTTTGCACTTCTGTCAATCTTGGCATTTTGTTGAATTGTCACTGTTCAATTGACGCAGATGCCAGCCAATCAAAGCCCCTGCACTTTAATACCGTTCATAGAGCTGCTGCACGTGCAGTGCGTGCAGCTTCATGGCCCTTTGTAAAATGCACTTACCACTTGTGTAAATGCTCTGTGGATCATGCTATGTGGACCATGTTCTGTGGATCATGCTCTGTGGATCATGCTCCATGGATCATGCTCTGTGGACCATGCTCTGTGGATCATGCTCTGTGGATCGTGCTCTGTGGATCATGTTCTGTGGATCATGCTCTGTGGATCATGCTCTGTGGACCATGCTCTGTGGATCATGCTCTGTGGATCATGCTCTGTGGATCATGCTCTGTGGATCATGCTCTGTGGACCGTGCTCTGTGGATCATGCTCTGTGGATAATGCTCTGTGGATCATGCTCTGTGGATCATGCTCTGTGGACCATGTTCTGTGGATCATGCTCTGTGGATCACGCTCTGTGGACCGTGCTCTGTGCATCGGGCTCTGTGGACTATGCATTGTGGATCGTGCTCTGTGGACCGTGCTCTGTGGACTATGCTCTGTGGATCATGCTCTGTGGACTATGTTCTGTGGACCACGCTCTGTGGACCGTGCTCTGTGCATCGAGCTCTGTGGACCATGCTCTGTGCATCATGCTCTGTGGACCATGCTCTGTGCATCATGCTCTGTACATCGTGCTCTGTGGACCATGCTCTGTGCATCATGCTCTGTACATCGTGCTCTGTGGACCATGCTCTGTGCATCGTGCTCTGTGGATCATGCTCTGTGGACCATGTTCTGTGGACTATGTTCTGTGATCATGCTCTGAAGGTATATCTCCTTGTCTTCCGCTCGTAATGGTCCCCACTCGGGTGAAGGTCTGCTTGCAAATCTCAGGCGCTGCAAAAGAAATGTTTCCCAGGAAGGCGTTGATAAATTATTGACCTATGTTCGTATTCGTTTGTCTGTTTGTTTATTGTTTAAACTTGCTCTCAGCATATAGCTATATGACGGCGGTCTGTAAATAATTGAGTCGTAAAGTACTATGCGTAAAAACGTACCTCGCAAAGGCTCCCTTTTCCCTTGACGACTAGGACCACCAAGGTGATAGGTATGGGCAACGACATCACCACCGCAACCATGATACCAATCACCTTTGCATATTCAGGGTAGATGTACTCGCCATAGCTCGGGGGGTCATATAGAAACAGGGAGCATATCAGGGAAGCCTGAAAGTAAATGAAACCACTCTGTACATATAACTGCACATGCTTGCAATGGATTTGTTTAAGTTAATATTTGATTGTTCTTTCTTTCTCCGACAAGCATTGGTTGCTGAAGACCTATTCTACTCGAATGTGCACGGATGTCAGTCTCTGTAACAATGCATAAGATGTAACATCAAATCTTGATCTAATAAACTCTTTGGTGTGAACTTACAAAGAGTATGAAGGGCGTCAAATAAGATGACATGATTTTAAGCAACACTGGAAATCGCCTGCCTGTCATCATCTCAATGTCGTCGCTGAGTCTCTTTGAACCTACAAAACAGAGAAGCGACGTTAACACTGTGTGACTGTAGGATTTGTTTGTCGAAACAGGTTTTGTTTGTTTGTTGTTTAACGTCGCACTCAGCAGTATTCGAGCTATATGACGGCGGTCTGTAAATAATCGAGTCAATCCAGTGATTGACATTAGCATCGATCCACGCAATTGGAATACGATGACATGCATCAACCAAGTCAGCGAGCCTGACCATCAGATTCCGTTTGTCACCTCTTAAAACAAGCATAGTCGCCTTTTAGGCAAGAATGGGTTGCTGAAGAACCATTCTACCCCGGATCTTCGCGGATCTGTGAAACAGGTAATGTATCTCGGTTATACTGTCAAAATGAATGAGTGGAATAGCATTTTCTCGGCTATCATCATCATCATCCTAGGCGTTTACAACTTGCGTGAAACCTACGACTACGAGTACGGTGATTATTACTAGACGAATCTGTTTCGAACCCGTGATCATAAGATTCTGGCCTGTCTAAGGGACGCAACTCTGCAATGTAATGAGTTCACCAACTCTCCAGTTCACAAACTGTAACACTACATCTACACAAATCTGACAATGCTGTGTCAATATGATTTAAAATACCAAATGTCAACACCAGAACTATCAGTTTACAATGGGCGTAGATTCCATTGAGCATAAAACGCAAAATACAGTGAACTACGTTTATAACGAACACCCTTATAACGAACTGCCGGATATGACGAACTCATTTAGAAACCCGTCTATTTGCTGTATATATGCAGCATATATATGCTTATATATACAACGGTTATAACGAATTAAAATTAGTGGTCCCTTTGAGTTCGTTATAACCGTAGATTACTGTAGTGGTGAAAAAATATATAAATTGATAACTGACTATGAATGATGACACCAGGAGTTAGCGAACTGGGTAAGCATGTCCTCCTTCAGTGTTTCATATGCTTATAACAAACTACGGTTATAACGAACTACGGTTATAACGAATTAAAATTAGTGGTCCCTTTGAGTTCGTTGTACCGTAGGTTACTGTAGTGGTGAAAAAATATATTGATAACTGACTATGAATGTTGATACCAGGAGTTAGCGAACTGGGTAAGCATGTCCTCCTTCAGTGATTCATATGCTTATAACAAACTACGGTTATAACGAACTACGGTTATAACGAATTAGAATTAGCGGTCCCTTTGACTTCGTTAGAACCGTAGGGTACTGTAGTGGTGAAAAATATATAAGCATGACCTCCTTCAGTGGTAACTCCCGCCACTTACATAATTTGCATACATAAGTAATAATGACGTATGTTATATTGTGCTTTAAGGTTTTACCATAGATCCAGTTGATGGCGACACACTCGAGGCAGCCAATGAGCAGTGCGTTGAAGGAGGAGGCGTACCAGTCTAACAGCTGGAAGAGGTAGATTCCGCCCTGCATAGGGGATAACATCAGTGTTTCATTTGTTGTTTGTTTGTTTGTTGTTTAACGCCGCACTCAGTGGTATTCCAGCTTTATGACGGCTCTCTGTAAATAATCGTGTCTGGACAAGACAGTCAAGTGATTGACGTCATGAGCATCGATCCCCGCAATTGGGCTATGATGACATGCATCAACCAAGTCAGCGAGCCAGACCACCCGATCCCGTTAGTCGCCTCTTACGACGAGCATGGTCGCCTTTTACGGCAAGCATGGGTTGCTGAAGACCTATATATTCTTCCCCGGATCTTCCCGGGTCGTTTCGTTTGTAAAGAGTTGCTAATTAAAGAGGCATAATATCTTTGATCAACAATGACTTTCTTCATTTGTAACGTTTGTTTACATTTAGAATTATCAAACCTTCAAACGACATGGCAGATTTGGTCATGTTTCGCAGCATTCATTCCAGAATCACTGAAAATTGTTCTCTTTAGGTATCATAATAATAAAGTAAACTACGTTTATAACGGACATCCTTATAACGAACTGCCGGATATAACGAACTGTTTTGAGTCCCGTCCATTTGCTGTACATATATGTTTATAACGAACAACGGTTATAACGAATTAAAATTAGTTGTCCCTTTGAGTGCGTTATAACCGTTTTTATGTACCTGTCTTAGCATGTCCATATAACACTGAATCCAAGTCATGTCAGAGATCAGACCTCAATGAAACAAACAGGTTTGGCCATGAGATATACGTACCTCGGTTACAAAGGGAATGGACACAGCGAAGCTAGCTAGACACACCCCAGCAGTGACCCACGACCTCCGTTGTTGAAGCTGTTTTGGACACGCGTCTATGATTCCAGCTATGTTAGTTTCCGTCATCCCGAACTGCGAACGTACCAAATTAGCTTCAGCAGTTTCACAAAGTTTGTTTGTTTGTTGTTTATCTCCGCTCTATTCAATAGCGGTCTGTAAATAATCGAGTTTCGTCCAGACAATCCAGTGATTGGCATCATGAACATCGATCAAGGCAATTGGGATACGATGACATGCATCAAGCAGGTCAGCGAGCCTGACGACCCGATCTCAGGGTCGCTTTAACCACGGGGCTACCCTACCGCCCTTGAACCCAAGAACCGGGTTTGATTCCCAAGAAGGGTATAATGTATAAGGCCCACACTTAGTTCCCCTCGTGGTGACTGGAATATTGCTAAGTGTGACGCACAATCACTCTTTAGACATTTATTTAGTAGATCATGTTACTGTTGGATTCTGGTGTCCCAGATGCGATATTGATAAAATACGGCATAAAACCATACTCACTCACTAATTACTGTTTAATCATCATTTGCATGGCACATGCGTTTTAAATGTTGGTTAACATCAGGTTAACGTGTCATTAGAAGTCATCTGATAACATCACAACGTTTTAAGTATTGCATACCAAAGAATCTATTCCCATCACAAAGAGCATGAGGAAGAACAGGACTGCCCACAGCTGAGACACCGGAAGCTGGGCGATTGCCTCTGGGTAGATGATGAACCCCAGACCAGAACCTGAAACAGACATGAATTTAGTTTTACGCCGCCTTCAAGAATGTCCCAGCAATATCACAACGTGGAACATAAGAAATAGGCTTCACACTTTGGAGAAATTGAACTCAAGCCTCCGGCGTAACGAGCGAACGCTTAAACCACTACCTTACGCCGCGTCTTCGATTCAGTGTGAGTTTTGACCCCTCTATGAGCAGTCTTTCAGTTATATCACGTGTCAGCTTGATGTTGAGATTAGCTCTAGATGACAAAGTTCCTGCACTTAAACCATTTCAGTGAAAGCTTAGAAACTTGTCATGGTGTCGACAAACCAAGGGCGAACAACTCTGCTCATCTAATTTCGGTGTCTGAGACTGCACGTACGTGAAATGTCCTGAGTATGTTATGAACCAAATCATAAGGATATCATACCCTTGCTTAAAACTCTACACACACATGGAATGTGTTTGCAAAATGGAAATTATAACAAACATAAAAACATAAAGTTTACGTGTGGGGTAGTCGTTTTCATCTTATATCTTTCTATAGATATCCTTGTCTACTTTTAGTTCTTTTCTGTGGCGACAGGAACGAACACATATTTTTATTGCAAACAGTGCGAGTGGCAGGTGCTGCGGGTAGTGAGTGATTGAGTGAGTGAGTGAGTGAGTTGGGTTTAATGCCGCTTTTAACAGTATTACACTTATGTCAGCTTAATGTGGGAGGAAAGCCCGAAGTGATGCAGATCTAAGATGTTTACCACTTCGGAGAAACCCACGAGCACAGGTATGGTGCTGACAAACCTAAAAACATGATCGGGGCGAACCGGGATTCGAACCCACAATCATAGGTTTCTGGTGTGCCCAGGGACGCAGCAAATCGCGGCACCTTAGAGGACTTGGCCACCCGAGCTCCCTGTAATTCCCTGGAACTAGTTCGGGTGTCACGTTGAAAATCTCGTCATTAATTCAATGTTACAAGTAGGCGTAGTTAGTGTGATTATGAAGAGATAGGTCAGCTGTTACATAGGCTGTTCATCATCATCATCATCATCATCATCATCATCATCATCATCATCATCATTTCCTTCACAGTTCTCTGCGACAGTTTAACGCATCTCCTCCACAGCTCATACGCATCTCGGTGATCGTTCGAACACTTGCGTTAATGAGGTGAAATGGGGTGGAACGTCGCGTCCAAGATCATTTCACTTATACAGCTTATACATTCACGTGTGTGTGTTTGTACTAGTCCGGACTAATGCCGATTTTATGGTGCTAGCACACTGAAATATCATGCCGCAGTTATACACGAATACCCCACTCAAACACAGTATACTGACTCCGAGCCGACGAGTTCTTTTTTAAGCCCCTTAATGCCGGACGCCACGCAGGGTAACAACAAGTACCATCTTTTGGTATGACGCGGCCGGGGATCGAACCCCGGACCTTCCACCCTCCGTATGGAGGCTCTGCCACTATACCCGTCCATTTGTTAATGAAAATATATATCAATAAGTAAGGAACAGATATATTTACCCGATGACACAACTTCTGATATAGGTATCTGCGCCTGATGCGCCATGAAGCCGAGAGTAGAGAAGACCACAAGACCACAGAATATACTACTTGCTTGACCAATGACGGTAACCAACACCAAGTCTCTGAAATCAAAAGACATCAAAATATTAAAATCAGATCACATGTCAAATTTTAGAATGGAATAATATTATTAAGGTAATTATTGGTTTAAGAACGAATAATTGTGTTACTATCACCACCGTGATCACTATTAAAGACCACGCTGTTTGGAAATTCATTTCAGAAGTGAAGTATTACAAGTTACTTCAATGGTCTGTTGTTGAAGTTGTTGTAGCTGCTCATGGTGATCAGTCCGCCGTAGGTAACGCTCGTTGAATAGAACCCCTGGAGCAGCGCTTCCAGCCACACCTGTGAAAAAGCAGGGTCATCAGTGCTGTATTATAGGGGCTGTGCGACGTGGTATAGTAATGGTATATACATATACAAAATAATAAAGCATTGTATAGCAAAGCGATAAAGATATATTGAGGATAGTCCATACGTCGAGTGTAATATCATGTGTCTCTCATCGAGTAAAAAGGAAAGCGAGATATTTTCACTCATTTTGAGTATTCCATGTTGTTTTCCAGCAGAAGATACTTACGATTAAGGGGGGATAATTTGTGGGGAGGTAACTTTTGAAACAAATAGTTCAAGCTGGACACGCTGGAGTACCAAGACAGATTTTTTGCAAAATCTGATTAAAACAAAGATGAATTTAGAGACATTGTTTTGACAGATATTTTATGAACCTGAACGGAAGCTAGTCGTGAGAAGTCTGGACGTAAGAAGAAAAGTATCCCCTCTCCTGCTCCCGGCATCATGCACGACCTTATGAGCAGCACCGTCAGCAGGATATACGGCATCAACGCAGTCACATAAACCACCTGTAAATATAAACCAGAAGTCTTTATTGAGTGGTTAGGAATGAATTGCGTTCATCGATGCTCATAATGTCAGTCATCGGATTATCTGGTCCAATTCGATTATTTACAGACCGCCTTCATATAGCTGGAATATTGCGGCGTTAAACAACAAACAAACAAAGAAAAGAAACAAACAAAGTATCAAGTGAGGACAATACTCAACCCAGAGTTAGTACAATATTTGTTTGTTTGTTTGTTGTTTAACGCCGCACTCAGCAATATTCCAGCTATATGACGGCGGTCTGTAAAATAATCGAGTGTGGACCAGACAATCCAGTGATTAATATCATAAGCATCGATCCACGCAATTGGGATCGATGACATGTATTAACCAAGTCAGCGAGCCTGACCAGCCGATCCCGTTAGTCGCCTTTTACGGCAAGTATTGGTTGCTGAAGACCTATTATACCCCGGAATCTTCACGGGTCGTTAGTACAATATGCTCACACTAACGGCATTGTTACAGCGACTATATGAGTGTGTGCATGGCAGCCTTTAAACAATCTAGTCTGGATCAGTCTGAAGGCGTGGGAGAAGGTCCACGCCATCGGGGCACGGAGAGAGGTTATAAGTCAAAAGCGTGTGATCTGTTCTCAAACATGCGGGTAAATATTACTTTTCCCTTTAACCCCTAAAGGAAATCCTTCACAGGACTTACTTGATGTTCTGAAAAATGATGTGTTGTGGATCTAAGTGGGTCCCCAAACCGTTTGGCTTCTTCTTCCAGGGAATGGTTTTGAGCATCTTAAACATCCTCACACATATCTTAAATTACTATGTATGTCATCGTATTACAATTACGTCGATCGGTGCTTATGATCGTATCCCAATTACGTCGATCGGTGCATCACTGGATTGTCTGGTTCAGACTCGATTATTTACAGGCAGCCGTCATATAGCTCGAATATTGCTGAGCGCGGCGCGTTAAACAACAAACAATACAATAATACAATCTTAAATTACTACATGGTTGGACCCTATTCGGGATAATTCTGTCGAGAAATCCCCATGGGGCCACCATAATGAGATCAGATAAAGAAATCAGTGCGGTGGTGGCCTAGCGAATGGTGCGTCTCACCTTTCCTACAGACTTGACGCCTTTCATGAGACAGAGGAACACGACAACCCAGGAAGCAAGGTTACAGAGGAGGAGATGGACCTGGACTGACCCGACGCTGTCGACTCCACTAGACACCCTCAGTGTGCCGTATCTGTCACAGTAAACGGAACTTTTGGTTTGGTTTGGTTTGTTGTTTAACGCCGATCGGGTGGTCAGGCTCGCTGACTTGTTGATGCATGTCATCTTATCCCGATTGCATGGAACGATGCTCACGATGTCAATCACTGGATTGTCTGGTCCAGATTCGATTATTTACAGACGGCCGTCATATAGCTGGAATATTGCTGAGTGCGGCGTTAAACAACAAACAAACACACGAACATATTTGTAGTCGGTGAGTACACCAGTGGGATGGAAATTTATGTTTGTCTCAATTGATAGTGCTAAGAACGAGACAGATATACATTGTAAACAGCCATAACATGATCAAATCCTAAAAAGCATCCACCCCTATAGGGGCTTTTTTCGTCGGAAGCCTGGTCGGTCACATGACAATGTTTCACATGTGACTATCAAACGAATTAGTACCGTTTAATCTGTATTGTAAACTTCAACCGAATTGGCCTCAAGAGTGTTATATTTGTTTACGTTATCGTCTGGAATCCCATTGAGAAACAAAGCGGTGATATATGTACATGTATGTCAATATGTCAAAAATAACAGGAAGAAAATAGTTAGTTTCAGATGTAAGCTTGCTGTGATTTCTTCAGGCGAGGATCAAGGCCACTGTCAGCCATATTGTCTTTATCATCAAAGCATGTATTTTACTTATACACTTTCCCACACATCTTAGCACTAACCACACAAAGATACTACTTCAAATTTGGTAGAAACGTTGAGAGAAAGTTATGTGTTATATTCAATATATGCAGTTTGTCATATGCATATTTTATATTTGGTTTGAATTAAATACATTTATTTTAAGTTTTATATGCAAGATAAGAGTAGCAATGTTCTTTATGAAGTTAAATGATCAAGATATAACTATATAACGGCAACGGGAGAGAATAACGTTTCTCGATTACTAGTATCTGCCAAAACAGATTCCATAAGGCGTAAAAGGTAAAATGAGGGTGACAATGACATGCACGAATCACTGAAAATCAGTTATGACACCAGGGCCCACTTGCACAAAGCGATCTTTGCGCTAACATGATCGTAACTCCCATACTTTAAAATAGGCTTACAGTGAGTGAGTGAGTGGGTTGGGTTTAACGCCGCTTTTAACAGTATTGCAGTTATATCGCGGCGTGTCAGCTTAATGTGGGAGGAAAGCCCGAAGTGATGCAGGTCTCGGACGTTTACCACTTCGATGAAACCCACGAGCAAGGGTATGGTGCTGACAAACCTAGAAACATAATTCGAACCGGGATTCGAACCCACAATCATAGGTTTCTGGCGTGCCCAAGGGACGCAACTCTGCACAGCGAATCGCGGCGCCTTAGACGACTGGGCCACCCGTGTCCCCCATAGGCTTACAATACTCGTAGCGCTAAGTGGGCCTGTACATATTTATTCCACATTTATTCCGGGCGTTTAGTACTCGGGTAAAATACCATGTATGGTATAATCTTTCTCTTACTGCCAAAATTCTTCTGATGCTGTCAATGTGGCATTCGTCTTTCTCCATGCTGAGTTGAAAAGGCGTTCATCCACAACAGTTGTGTTGGCGTGGGTCTCGCTGGTGGATGAAACGTTTCCAAGCCTATTGACACACAAGGGAGTGTTCCACCAGTTGTCACACGTTGTCCAGGGCAACGCGGCCCAGAAGGAATTGCAGATGTAATACATGGACCAGGTAATTATCACATTGTACAGCACACTTCCGAATACACAGGATAACACCTGCGAGATACCGATACCTGGAACAAAACACGTTTATAACAGTCTGTAATAATATTGTTATGGTGTGATATTTGCTATACATTCTTTTGAAATATGATGAAATTTTTATATATAATATGATATTTTTATGATATAATTTTCATAAGATTGGTTTGGTTTGTTGTTTAAGCCGCACTCAGCAATATCCCAGCAATATGACGGGGGTCTGAAAATAATTGAGTCTGGATGAGACAATCCAGTGATTGATATGATGAGCATCGATCCACGCAATTGGGATCGATGACATGTATCAACCAAGTCAGCGAGCCTGACCACCCGATCCCGTTAGTCGCCTTTTACGACAAGCATAGTCACCTTTTACGGCAAGTATGGGTTGCTGAAGACCTATTCTACCCCGGAATATTCACGGGTCCAAAAGAATAGACCCTCAGTGTACATTTTGACTCTGTCCATTGTTTGGACGCTGGTGGCCTGGGGAAAGGTTATCAATATACAATGGCTACACTGGCGACTGAGTAAGTATTTAATGTTCAAAGATGCGCCTAGGTGACAGGTGCTCCTGATAAATGGTCAGTTCTTGCCCGACCGTTTTGCTAGAGGCGCATACCAGTTATAACAATACACCTCAGTTGTAAGTGACCATATGTTTCCGAACCAAAGGAAATTTAATAATATTCAAATCTTTACATATATAAAAATTTCATCATATTTCAAAAGAATATATAGCAAATATCACACCGTAACAATATATTCCTTCATTGTCTAACATATGCTCATCCTCGAATATTCAACCGTTCTATTATTGTTTGTTTGTTGCTTAACGCCGCACTATGCAATAGTCTGTGAATGTCGGTCTGTGAAATATCGAGTCTGGGCCAGACAATCGAATGATTGATATCATGAACATCGATCCTCGCAAATGGGATACGATGACATGCATCAACCAAGTCAGCGAGCCTGACCACCCGATATCGTTCTATTATGACATACCCTCGACCTATTCGCTATCGTAGCGTCGGTTTGAGCCCGATTCGAACAGCACGACAGTGAGTCATATGCATCCAATCAAATTACTCTCATTAGCGACGGAAATTCTGTGCAACGTTAACGGTTAGATAGAGATGGTGACGTCACTTCCGGAACGAAGCCATTGTGGCGAATGGGTCAGAGTATTTAAAATAACAAAATGAAGACGTTATCGTGACCGTTGTTATTCGTTGTCACTTTTATATTCGAAGTTTTAGGAAGTTTTAGCGATTATATTTTTTCAGAGTTAATTTCAAAATATTTTCACAGTAACGGAATTTAAACGCCTGAATAACATCATACAGTGAGCGTGCGCTGTTTTTATTCCAGCCAGTCTAGGTTACCTTTGCACAATACTTTTCTCTACTGCCGATTTAAATTAGGATGGGATGGTCGGGTTCAGTGACTTAGTTGATAGTAGGTCATTGTAACCTGGGACGTGTTGATCTTGCTATCAACCGCTGGCTTTAAGTGTCCCAGATTATTTACAGACCGCCGTAATATAGATAACAGATGAAGTAGAGCTCCGTACTGAGGTGTATATACATGTCGGTTTCTATAGTTTATTTCGAGGTGAGGTGAAACGGTTTAACGTCGCGTCCAAGATTATTGCACTTATATAGCGACGTGCATGCACGTGTGTGTGTGTGTGTGTGTGTGTGTGTGTGTGTGTGTGTGTGTTTGTGTGGCTGCTTGCACTAGTCCGGACTGATGCCGTTTTATAGTGCTAGCTCACTGAGATACCATGCCGCAGTTTAACATGAATACTCCACTCAGACACAGCATACTGACTCCGAGCCGGCCAGTCCTTGTTTTAGCCCCTTAATGCCGAGCTTATCCAGCAATATCAAGGCGGGGAACACAAGAAATGGGCTTCACATATTGAACCCATTTAGGGAATTCAACCCGGGCCTTCCGAGTGACGAGAGAACGCATTAAGCACTAGGCCACACCACCGACTCTTTTCGCTTTAGTAGTGACTAATACACTAGGTGTCTCTAAACCTGAAGGCTCAGTCCTATAAATCAGACCCTAGACATAAGATGCGTTCTTCGAGAACAAATGGTCGAAGCACTGAAGATGCTGGAAATGTACGGTGGCCCATACCCGCCACCAGTGAGATCATTTTTCACTGTATGCCTCTATATTTTATCTGGCGGCCGCGAGAAACTTTCACTGGTGAGATCATTTTTCACTGTATGCCTCTATATTTTATCTGGCGGCCGCGAGATACTTCCACTGGTGAGATCAGTTTTCACTGTATGCCTCTATATTTTATCTGGCGGCCGCGAGAAACTTCCACTGGTGAGATCATTTTTCACTGTATGCCTCTATAGTTTATCTGGCGACCGCAAGATACTTCAACTGGTGAGATAAAATTTAGAGGTTTACAGGGGAAAATGATCTCACCAGTGGAAGTATCTGGCGGCCGCCAGATAAAATATAGAGGCATACAGTGAAAAATGATCTCACCAGTGGCGGGTATGGGCCACCGTAGAAATGGAACATATTTTTCGAAACAGAAATACAAAAGACTGCTGCGCATGATGTAAAGTGACGCTCCTATATCCGATAAACATTTTCTTTGTGTGAGTGGATAAGTTCGGTTTGAGGCCGCTTTGAAAAGTCCCAGGCATGTCAGCTTGACGTGGGAGGAAAGCCCGAAGTGATGCAGGTTTCAAACATTTACCATTTTGGTGAAACAACATGGATATGGTGCTGACAAACCTAGAACCATAACTGAGGCGAGCCAGGATTCGTGCACACGATAATACGTTTCTATCGTGCCCAGGGAACGCCACCTTACAGCGAATGTCGGCGTCTAAGCTGACTGGGCCATCCGTACCTTCAATGGTTAAATGACATGTAATCAACAATACAATGAGGCAACAACTGACCTTTAAACAGAGGGCAGAGGACCCACACGTGTCCTGCACTCCTGCTTGAGAACTGGCCGATAGTGATCTCCAGCAAAAACAGCGGGACAGAGCACGTGATAATTCCGATAAAGTAAGGGATGAGAAACGCACCTGTCAACAACAAACAAACAAACAAGTAGATAATGGCGACAAGACACATGTGATTATTGGTCTTCATTGACCACCATCGAAAAAAAAGAAAACATAATTAGGTGTCACGAAAGCCCCAAATGAAGGTTTTAGACGTTTACCACTTGGGGTGAAATCCATGAACACGGGCATGGTGCTGACAAATAAAAAACAACGTATTAATGAAGACATTGGAAGTTCACCCATTATGCATGACGGAGACAAGGAGATCTGCAGAGCCTAAAACGGCCTGGTCAACTGTGCTAAGTAAACATTTAAAAATATATCATGGGTGAAATTATTTTAGTTAATGAATTAAGGGGGGGGGGGGGGGATTTGAATTTGAACATAATTTCATTTATATGACATGGTGTCACGCGGGTCGTGGACATTTGCAACTTTGGTGATCCCCTCCCCCCCCCCCCCCCCCCCAACATGGGTATGGTTCTAATAGACAGACCATATGGCCAATCTGGGATAGGTGTTGCAAGGGGCTGAGCAAATGTACATTGTCAATGCAAGAGAATAACCAGTCTTGATTATTCGCCGAAACAGATTTAACGTAAAGGGCAAAATAGCTGTGAAAAACACAGAATGGTCCATTGAAAGTCAGTGATGACATCAGGTATTCCAAGATGCTGCACCCTAGTTCTCTCAGCGCCACTAATGTAAAAGGGGGCATGGGTGGCCCAGTCGTCTAAGGCGCCACGATAGGCTGTGCTGAGTTGCGTCCCTTTGGCACGCCAGAAACCGATGATTGTGGGTTCGAATCCCGGTTCGCCCCGATTATGTTTCTAGGTTTGTCAGCATCATACCCGTGCTCGTGGGTTTCACCGCAGTGGTAAACGTCTGAGACCTGCATCACTTTGGGCTTTCCTCCCACTTTAAGCTGACACGCCGTGATATAACTGGAATACTGTTAAAAGCGGCGTTGAACCCAACTCACTCACTCACGCTGGGCACATGACTTTCATATCCAGGTTTATTCTAGTTGCACCACTGTCACTGCTGGAAATAATCAGAGAGAGTCAGTGATGCAGGGTACTACCAATGGAGGAGAAATGTGATCACATACATGTAGTGAGGTTAAATGTGAAAGTGAAATGCAAACGAGGAACGGTTGAGGTTTGAAACCAGATCGTTGTGTTCAATAAAAGCGACAACAACAATTCCATAATCAAAAGAAATATCTGCTTAAACAGATCATTGTATGATTCCGACTATATCAGAAGCGTTACTGATTGCAAAAAAGCATTATGACAAATGGGAGTTTATCACTTAAAAATGGAATATATATATGCATATGGATTATATTACATTTATAACTGTCCGGGAATTACATTATCAATGCAGAGTTGGGTCTTTTGTTGCTTATCTTACAACTGGTTAAAACAATAAGCAGTAGTGCATAACTGGTATTACATGATTTAATTTTGATAGCATTGAATATTAACATATATATTTAACATTATACGTGAAAAGGCGCGGGCGTTATAGGAATCATTAGACACTAGAGTTGGAAAAATAATCTAAACGACTGATACTCTAAACGAGTTGATTTGTACAATATTTTATGAAACATAGTACACATATAATACATAAAATTTATAAGTATATCGATAACATGATATATATAATAAAAAGTGAGTGAGTGAGTATGGTTTTACGCCGCTTTGAGCAATATTCCAGCAATATCACGGCGGGGGACACCAGAAATGCGCTTCACACATTGTACCCATGTCGGGAATCGAACCCGGGTCTTCGGCGTGACGAGCGAACGCTTTAACAACTAGGCTACTTTTAGGGTAAATTTAAATTCAGCGGAAGAAATTCATTTTGTCGAAAATTTTGCGAAGAAGGTTACTTGTCCAATATTCGATCACCAACAAATATGATCCGCCACTTCAAAAATGTCAGAAAAAGCAACTATCTAGTCAATATCGGATGTGGCTGTCGTCCCAGGTGGTCCCACAGATGTTCTATTGAAGACATGTCAGGGGATCTTGCCGGCGAAGGAAGAAGGTTCACGTTGTTGGCGTTGAAAAATGCTCTGGTACTGCGGGTTGTATGAGGCGCGGCGTTATCTTGCTGGAATAACGTTTGCGGGTGACGTTGAAGAAATGGCAGTACAACTGGCGTTAAGACTTCAATGACGTAGCTTGAAGCAGTGCCATCAATAACAACCAGATCCGTCTTCATGTCTCCACAGATCCCACCCAGACCATCACACTGCCACCGCCGTGTGGTTCAATTTCCTGCACGCAACAACGTGACGTCCGTTCTGTTGATGTGATGACCAAGAGCATGTCGTCCCGAGGAGAAGCAGCGGTAAATGCCGTCTCCCGGAGGGGTGGACATTCTGGGTCTACCGCTCCTATGGCTGTCTGCTGTTCCACCTGTCTGCCCAAACCGGCTGACTAACCTCAGTATCGTCCTTCTCGAACAGCACATTACCCCAGCAACATGGGCCCGAGTTGCCCCCATATCCAACAACCCCATGTGCCCTTTATCTCAGTTCCATTGTTAATCGTTGCATGTCCACTTTTGGCAACTGAATGCGCCAATGCCAAAGAACATTTTCGTACCCGTTTTATACCAGATTTGCATACGGGTATTTTGCGCATGTCAGTGATAGGGATGAATAAGTTGCGCAAAGGCGATTCGTTTAAATTTATATAAAAAGATATTTTGACATTGGTTAAAAATATACTGTAAACATATTTTATTATCCAACAAGACCAAGGGATTGGGCACAAGTGCAGCACTTTAAACCGCCTTCTCCCTGTATACAGTTAAACATAATATTGCATGATGAAAATGAACAATTTACAGTTGAAGCTTCACATTGTGGAAACATAGTGCGCAATATATATACAGTGCTCATATGAAGGATATGTACAATGTGCTGGAAAGTGAAGACAGTGTGCATCTCATACATATCCTAATATGATACACTGTAGTGTTGTATTTAGATTTAACAATATTCTTTTTTTTTTTTTGGGGGGGGGGGGGGGGGGGCGTTTTCGAAGGGGAAATGTTATGATCCTGAGGGAGTGATGTGATCCCGGGATAAACTTGCACTTTTAATTGAGAGACACTTTGGCTTGAAGTTTTATTGATTCTTCTCCTTGTTAAGGTGTTACTTAAAGATTGTATTTTCTGTTCAAGCAAAATTAAAAACATTGTCATTTGTTCACAACTTGCTTGTCTTGTGTTTTGTCTGTCAATACTCCTATTTGGTTCGCTTTACGGGGTTGGAGAATGACGAGATCTCGTGATATCGCGAAAATTGAAACTACCAAGAGCTGGTAACTATGCACAGCGGATAAAGAATACCATGCGTGTATCTGACAGACCACTAGTGACACGGGACTCTCTTAAAATCCATTTGAACTGATTATATACTTCTATAGAGCTTATCTATCAATGCAGCCAATATTGAACCAATGCCCAACCAAAATTCGTCATGGATATCTGGTGTTGATTGAACGTCGATTCAATTTTATAATCCAGCCAAAAAGCAATGTTATTTCTACATTGAAGCAAAACATTGTTTCAATATCAATATATGATGTTGATTCAACGCTGACATTTCAACATCATCACAACTTTCAAATCCAGGCAAAAATCAGTCATTTCAACACTGTTTCCCACTGGTGTTGTGTATAAGATTGTTTCAACATTGGTATCTGATTTTGATTCAACGACGACATTTTAACGCCATCAGAACCTTCAAATCTAACCAAAAATCAAAGTAATTTCAACACTGTTTCCCGCTGGTGTGGTGTATCAATGTATAATAACATACAAACATTGTTTGATTACCTTTTTAGACCCCCCAAAAATTTACAATGTGAATACACATTTCATATTTACCACCGCCATTTCTGTTACAGAGGTAGGGGAATCTCCACAGAGACCCAAGGCCCACAGTGTACCCAAGGAGGGACAGGATGTACTCTCTCTTTTTCGTCCACTCCTCTCTGGTTGCTACGGAACTTCTTTTTCTATACTCTCGCGTCTCTTTGCGACAGACATCCTCAAGAAATGTTTCACTCTCCGCCATGTTTGACTCCACAATGAAACACCGTGACGGTGGTTGTCGGGATGTTCCCGGACATTCTGATCTATATGATATGTGTACGGTGTTCTGAAACCATAAACATCTGCTGCCGCAAATTACATTTTTCAATTTATGTATGTATGTTAATATCTCACTTGGATATTCAAAGTGTGGTCGAATAAACATGTCGATTAACGTGTTCAATTTATGTATATCTGTTAATATCTCACTTGGATATTCAAAGTATGGTCGAATAAACCTGTCGATTGACGTATTCAAAATGTAAAACAATATGCTCGGTTAATTATCTTGAGGATATTATAACACGACATTTCGTTTATATACATTACACTTCGTGTGGTGATACTATGCTTTTAGGTTGTGTGTATTTCAGCGGCTTTCAGAAATACATAACTGTTTGTTTCTTTGTTTGTTGTTTGGCACTCGTGAAGAGCAACCTCCCCGTGGTGAGCGCTGGGTAGCGCTAATAGCTTTTCCCCCGTGTCGACCCGGGGTAGAATGTGTTCACAGCAACCCACTGCTTGTCGTTAGAGGCGACAAAATTGGGCAACCTGTTTGCCGTTTGCAAAGTTTACTTCTGCTTAAATTGTATTCAAACCAAATATGTATGCTTATATGTTGAATTATTTGCAATTTTGCCTAGAGTCTTAAAGCCCAGAAGGCGGTGGCTCATTGGCCAATTTGGTAGTTCATTCCTTGTAATGTTTCTGCTTGAGTATACCCCCCCTCTTGGTATCCTTGGTGCCGCTTGTCTGAGGCCCACAGGACTTTGGCATCGTCCTTGTTGACGCTCCATGGTGGATGGGGAGCCAGGAAGGTGAAACACAACTATACTACCATGGCTACTCAAAACCCCATAAAACAAAAACGTTATGATACTGATGATACTGATGATGAGGAAGATATGATAACTAGACTCTGTTACCCTGAACGCGACACCTGGCCTCGATTCATCGTTGCTGAATCTACTGAAAAACAGTTGACTTCTTGTTCTCGTTTTTTTTTAGAAAAAGCAATTCAGGGTATTGCTGGAACTGTGAAGAATGTCACCAAAACTAGATCTGGTGCAATTCTTATAGAATGTGTTAAAAGAGGCCAGGCAGCTAATCTGCTGGAAGCGAAACTTTTTGCTAATATACCCATAACATGTTATCCACATAAGTCCCTGAACTTCAGCAAAGGCATTATCCGAGACAGAGATAAGAGTCTTGCTAGTCTATCTACTGATGACATTGTAAGTTAGTTACGTGTGCAGGGTGTAGTTGAGGCAAATCGTTTCACCTTTAAGAAGGATGGAATCTTTTCACCATCCAATACCTACCTGCTTACATTTGATGTTCCGAAGCTACCTCAATCAATTAAAGTAGGATGTTTCTCTATGATAATTGACTTGTATGTTCCTAATCCTCTCAGGTGTTTTAAGTGCCAGAAGTTTGGCCATGGACAGAAAACACGTACAAAACATGCCGCTTGGAGGAGATCATGATGGCAACTCATGTGAATCTGAATTTAAATGTGTTAACTGCTTCGGTCCTCACATGTCCTCCTCTAAAGAGTGTCCAGTTTGGAAGTTCGAAATGGCCACCAAGCGCTTAAAAACTGAGAAGAACATCAGTTTTTCAGATGCAAGGAAATTGGCAGCTTCAATTTCACCTTCCAGCAATATTCCCTTGAGAGGCAAATCAAGCTACGCTGAGGTCTCAAAACCTTCCACAACAGCTTTAGACTGTCAAACTGACTTAACTTGGATAAACACTGAAACACCGGTGAGTCTTTGTGAACTCAAGACTTCACCACCACCAAAATCCTCTTCACAAAATACATCAAAATCATCTGAAACTCAGACACCTTCTTTACCACTTCAGAAAAATAAAAATGTAAATGTGAATTATTAAAAAAAAAAAAAATTCCAGTGACCGTCTTCCAAAAGGACACCGAGACCCTGTGTCCATTTTCAACAAATTCGGTGTTTTAGATGACATGGAAGTGTCAGCCAATCAGAGCACCCGCTCAAGGAGCCATTCTCCTAAGAAAAAACGTCGGGATTGGAATTGTCGAGGAATTAAACCAAATTTTGAAGAAATCAAGATTTTAACCCCGTGGCATTTAGCCTCCAGGAAACATTTCTAAGGGACGATTATCCGTTTAACTTGCGCCAGTATGATGCCTATAGTTCTGATTTAAAGATCACCAGCGGTAAGGCCTCTGGGGGCACAAGTATACTTATTAAACAGGGTTCACTACACAGCCCCATTGTACTAAATACTAATTAACAGGCTGTTGCAGTACGACTAACTTTACATGTTGCAATAACTCTGTGCTCTTTATATATATACCTCCATCATACGCTCTCCAAATCAGGGATCTGGATTATCTCATTGACCAGCTTCCCAAACCGTTCATTATAGTGGGTGACTGAAATGGTCACAATCCCTTATGGGGTTCATCTACACATAATGACAAGGGAAAAGTACTTGAAGACATTCTGGATAAGCATAGTCTATGTCTGCTTAATGATGGAAGTAACACCTACCTCCACCCGGCAACAGGTACATACTCAGCTTTGGATTTGTCCATTTCTGACCCATCACTTTTTAATGAATTTTCGTGGTCAGTTCATGGTGATTTGTGCGGCAGTGATCACTTTCCTACCCTGCTTAAAGCTATATCTCCCTTTGTGGATAGTTCCATTTCCAAATGGCAATATTCCAAGGCTAATTGGCTGTCTTTTAGTTCTTTGTGCTGTACTAAATTGAAAGTTGATCAATTTATCAATGATAATGATCAAATCAAACTGTTTTCTGATAAATTACTCAACGTTGCCACTGAAACTGAAAGTCTACTAAAACCAGTTTTATTTTATTATCTGATAGTCTGTCCTGTATACAGGCAATCGAAAACCGAAAGGTGGATCATCCATTTTTAGCTGAAATTTTACGGTGTCATCTCAGTGTATCAGTAGCTGGAAAAGATATATTTTTTTTGTTGGCTGCCCAGTCATGTTGGCATCAGTGACAATTGTAAAGCAGATTCTTTGGCCAAAACCGCTCTTAATAAACCAACGTCAAACACAAAACTCCCATATTCTGATCTAAAACCTTCCATCAGACAATATGTGAATGATCACTGGCAAAAACTTGGAGTACCAAGACTCTGAACAAACTTCATGCTATCAAACCACTGATTGGAGGTCACACATGTTCTGGTTGATATCGTCATGACGAAGTTGTTTTACAGCGGTGCCGCATTGGCCATAGTTATTATACACATTCATTTTTATTGAAGGGTGAAGATCCCCCTTTTTTGTATCACCTGCAATAGTCCAAATACTATCAAGCACATTTTGCTTGATAGTGTTGATTTTGCACTCATCAGACAACGATTTTATGATAATGTTCATACCTCATCTGAACTTTTTAAAACAGTTTCTAATCACTTGATTTTGGCATATTTAAAAGTAATCAAACTGTGTGATGAAATATAGATTCTTATCTGAACAATCAGTTTTACCCTTGAATGTGATATTGACTGAGGTTTTGGTGATTTTTAGCATCACTTTTATTATGTTTGATTCCATATGGTCAGATTAGACATTTTCTCGCCGCGAATAGCTGCAATAATGCTGATGCGGCGTTAAGCAAAAATTACTCACTCACTCACTCACTCTTTGTTTGTTTGTTGTTTAACGCCGCACTTAGCAATTTTTCAGCTATATGACGGCGGCCTGTAAATAATCGAGCCTGGGCCAGACAATCCAGTGATTGATATCATGAGCATCGATCCACGCAATTGGGATCGATGACATGCATCAACCAAGTCAGCGAGCCTAACCACCCAATCCCGTTAGTCGCCTCCTACGACAAGCATAGTCGCCATATATGGCAAGTTTGGGTTGCTGAAGACCTATTCTACCCCGGATCTTCACGGGCTAAATATAATACATATAACTTGCATGGATTGCAACTTCTTCATTCTTTCAACAATTGTTTGATAAATAATTTATCATCTGTACCGAAAAGTCCAATTGAAAGAATATAAAAGTTGAAATCCAAAGGTCAACTCTGTTCATTGCAACTGCAGCTTTTACGGAATCAACCACTGTTTTGACTATTAATTTATTGTTTTAAATGTATATGTGTTCATATATCTTTCCAGTCGAAGACACATGTACACTCCCATCACAATTTATTTGTTTGTTTGTTGTTCAACGCCGCCACTTAGCAACATTCAAGCTATTTGACGCCGGTCTGTAAATAATCGAGTCTGGACTAGACAATCCAGTGATTAATATCATGAGCATCGATCCACGCAATTGGGATCGATGACATGCATCAGCCAAGTCAGCGAGCCTGACCACCCGATCCCGTTAGTCGCCTTTCACGACAAGCATAGTCACATTTTACGGAAAGCATGGGTTGCTGAAGACCTATTCTACCCCGGATCTTCATGGGTCTCATCGCACTTTAAATTCAATCCAAACGAAAATACCCTTTCAAAACCCTTTAGCAAAACTGCCAGTAAACAAAGTATGCACCCGTGTTTTGTGGTAGCTAGCAATGAAACAAACAGTTGTTCGATTATGATGTATGGGATACGGGTTGTGTTTTGGACCTTCACTTTGCAGTGTTTTGTTGACTGTTTTCATAACGTTTGTAATGTTTTCGTCAAATCCAATTTTCAAGTTTGATACTTTCTTTTGCCCGGCAGTTAATAATATTCATACGTAGACCGGAAAGAGTGAGTGAATGAGTGAGTGAGTGAGTGAGTATGGTTTGACGCCGCTTTTAGCAATATTCCATCAAAATCACGGCGGTGGACACCAGAAATGGGCTTCACACATTGTACCCATGTCGGGAATGGAACCCGGGTCTTCGGCGTGACGAGCGAACGCTTTAACCACTAGGCTACCCGACCGGAAAGAAAAGACTGAAAACATTAAATCTTTCGGTGTCAGACAGTACACCATTCACAGATACCGCATG